CACATTCTGATATACAATATGTGGTACCAGTATATATCCTGATATACTATATATTATATGTGGTACCAGTTCACATTCTTATTTACTATATATGGTACCAGTATACATCCTGACATACTATATATGGTACCAGTACACATTCTGATATACTGTATGTGGTACCAGTACACATTCTTATATACTATTTGTGGTACCAGTACACATTCTGATATACTATATATGGTACCAGATCACATTCTGATATACTTTAGCTACACGAACACATATTCAGGCATAGTTATCTTGATATGTTTAGGCGTCTGACCGTCTATGATCACTGGCCCTCCAAATCTAGGCCACGGTTTTGAGGCCTACGTTGGGAGATCGCCAGTTGCTGGTCGCAGGTCGGTGGGTTTTTTCCGGAATATCCAGGTTTTCCTTCACTACCAGGACCTGGCACGTCTTTAATTGGTTATAACTGTTAATAGGACGTAAAACAGAAACAAACCGAAATTGATGTTCACATTGTGATTATTAACTTGATATCTTTATTGGAGCTTACCAGATGTTTTTTAATTGTTATTTATGTTACTATAGTGCCAGATGTTTTTCTTGTTACTTACATGTGTATATCGTTACATGACGTTTCTATTGTTATCCTAATGATTCAACGGTTCCCGTTATGTCATCATTGTAATTTAAAAAAAAAAATGTTTCCTTGATTCTTTCATTGTTTCCCTAGGGTTTCCATGATATAGGACCTTGGTGTTTCAATGGGTACCGTTATGTTTTTTCATTTTTTACTTTGATGTCTCTGTCGCTTCTTGATTTATTATAAGCATCGTTACTATGGCATTTCTTTTACATCCTTCAGCTTTTTCTGACGCCTTTTCATTGTTACCTTGATCTTTTAAAAATTTCCTTTGAATTTCAATTGTTACCAATACATTTCTAACGTAAAACATTATCTGTAATTCATTCCATAGTATGTTTTTTATGCATTTCTTATAGTTGTTATGTTGATAGGTTTAATTTCAAATGAGTGGTATTTTTATTTTGACATCATATATACCATTGTATATGAAAATAATATGTCACGTGCTCCAACATCTCAAAAGAACCGCGAAAATGTCCCAAAGAAGTACATGTAGGAGTTTACAATAAAAGATAGTTAGATAGATTCTATCTAAGAAAGCATATATAGCTCTAATCTAACTTTAAAACTTTATATTAAACAACGATTTATTCAACTTACTGGCGAGTTTTTAAAATATTCACACAACAGCTGCAGAGAAGAAGATAAGTTCTGTTTGATGGAGATATAAATTAAGTGTTCCTAACGAAACGCTTTAAACAATATTCTTTATAGTCTGTTTTGTATCTGTTGATAAGTTGAAGATTGGCAGTTGGCAACTAAATGTAAACAGCTGGGAGGGAAAAAAATTAAGGACGATTTAAAACAACTCATATATGTAACGTACTGTGACACGTGCAATATATTAAACACATATAAAACACGCCTGCAGTTTATCTAAATATAAATATTATCTCACCTGCATGTTTGTTAAAAAAAAATTTTTTAGAAGTTTAAATATAAGAGCTACGATTACATCTATTTAACTGTAGCAAAACAAACTGATGAAACATAGATAATGTTAAACGTCTTCACATCACCTATTGTGTTTCGCCTTGAAAATATTTTATTTATTGATCATGACTTCACATTAAGCTGTATGTCATAACAATATTCCGACACTAGCATGGCATTGTTGTAAAAATATCCATAAAATCAGGACTTATCAAATAGTAATGACAGACATATAGTGCTTTGTACAGGTTCATACATGATAGGGTAAGGCAGAGCATAACAACTGTGTGTTATCTATGATAACTGCCCTTTGAAATATATAAGGGGGTGCAATATCATGGCGTGTCTTGACTGGTATTGTCGAGATTGAAAAAGATATCTCAAATATGTCTATGTGTGAATTTCAATAAATTTTCGTCACGTTTTAAGAATAGCATATTCTTTATTAATAAAATGGGTAAGTCATTTGGGGGGAGGGGGCTGCGGTTTAACGTTCTCACATCCACCAAGGTAATGTATAAGACGGAATTAAGTAAGTATATTGTGTATATAAGTCTATACATTGTACTATAAGCTTTTTTATATGCTTTTTTACAAACGACTGTAAAATAGCATGTTAAAAACAGTATTTCAAGAGTGCATAAACATTAAAAACAAAGTATATCAAACACACACCACAGAAACGTAACCAGGCATATCTACAACACTGTATACATAGTAGGCAACAAAAACATATACAAAGTAGATATATATAGAAATCATTTGACAAATAGAGATTAATGACATGAGTTTTAAGAATGATGTCGGATACGGCGCAGGATAACGCAGGCTTCCTCGACTCTGTATACAATTCCATAGACCTATATAACATTAACGGTATTTAAAAGTACCTGTAATAAACACTGTGTTAACTTATCTCATGGGTACAGAGTCGGAGATACCCAGCAGCAGCGCTAAAACACATAACAGAGAGATATAATCGTGATAAAAGCAGTTATGAGACGTTATCAGTTTAAATGAGCCTAACATCAGTGATAGGATATCTACTACCTGTCCGGTTTTCAGACTATGTACATGTGTACGTGTTTGATAAGATCCAGTCGTTCCTGTAAAATAAAAATTGAAATACATACATAAAAATCCCACTGCGGTAGAGGAGGTGTACAAACACAATAAGCTCCATTTAAAAAACCTAAATCATCTGGTAGGTTTTTAGCAGTTTCGGGGCACAGAACCAACCAGTCAGTATAGAGAGGTTCCGCTGTTCAAGCGTTCCCCATCTATGTCATTTTACCATAGTATTCGTACTATATCATTCTCTAAGGAATACACTTTTCATATTAAATGTTATAGAGAGCACATTTACGGCGTAATCAATGAGACAATGAAGTGAAATAGACAAAACGTTTATACACAATGTAATTCAACGCAGTCAACATTTCAGGAAAAAATCGTGACTCGTCGTCACTACGAAATACAATAACGGTTACCGAGTTGATATCAAAACAAAAAGAAAGAAATCACGCAAACAAGACTTTTCCTGTACCTCCTGTAGTACCCGTCATGCTATTTCAAGTGAAATCCGTGAGAGTATGTGGGTACTCAGCGATCCAAGACAAGACAGTATGTGAGGTGTATTTAATTATAGATAAAAATCAGGCCAGGATGAGAATCATACTTCAGCATAGATTCGGGTCTCCCTGGTAGTAAACCCTGACTAATAGGTGTATAGGTGAACATGCCAAAGACTTTCCCCCACAACCACTATAGGTTTTCTCACTCCCGACTCATTGGATTAACCTGCTAGGAGTTGGTAAACATTTTTGGTTACTCACTAGTGGGTAACAACCTGGACGTGATTTCATTGGTCAATTTTTTACTTATGACGTCACAAAACAATGCTTTGCGACGTCATCTTCCATTATGACGTCATGATTCACGGCAATTGTTTCCCCAATCGGAAGCCTACATAGTGTGTTTTCAAGGAAACATCTGTCTTTCCAGATAAAACATGAACGTTACAGGAGAAAAAGGATCACAATCTCGTGATGGTAGGTTATCATGTTTATCTTACTCTTGTTAGTTAATTTCCAAATAGCAAAAGACACTCGGCAAACCTCGTGACTTTATTCAATTTAAAAATTAACTAACTCGAGTTAGATGAACATGATAACCAACCAACACTTGTTGGGGGACCTCTATTCCGTCTTTGCGTATTGCAGAGTTATCTTCTCTTGTGAGCAGGTATTGATTGTTACGTCATTGGTTTGTGTGAAAAAATTACGTCGTTTTCTCAAAAATTGATGACGTTCTCAATACCTGCTCACAAGAGAAGATACCTCTGCAATACGCAAAGACGGAATATACAAACGTGGATTTGTCTGTCTATGAGGTCAGATTTTAGCAAGTTCATTGTTTATCTAACATATTGCTTCATCAATGTGCCAAAAAATATCCCAGCTTAAAAAGTGACTGTGCATAAACATAATTAGGACTGTAAAGCATGTATTGATCTTCATTGACGGAAACACGAGACAATTTTTTTCTGACTAATGTTTTATTACACGGGGAATCAATTGTGTAGCATTAAGGTATCAGATAACGTTGTATTCGGGATTACCTACTAACTGTTAAGCTTAATTTTACAGAAATTTGGTTTTAAAAATCCCTGATATTTATATGAGTAAAAAAAATAAAATAAAAAATAATAGCTGTTGTAACATTTGAACTTGTCTTTATTATACTAGAAATAAAATATAAGTTGCTGGTGTTAGGATGGGACGTGGATTTGTCTGTCTATGAGGTCAAAATTTAGCAAAACTAGAAGCGTTCTAAATCTGTTAGTTTATTGTCTTTCTTATATATTGCTTCATCAATGTGTAAAAAATATCCAGGCTTAAAAAGTGACTGTGCATAAAAATTATTAGGGTTGTAAAGCATGTATTGATCTTCATTGACGGAAACATGAGACAAATTACCGACCATTTTGTACATGTTTCATCAATACAACCAGGAAATGTTTTCTGACTAATGTTTTATTTACACGGGGAATCAATTGTGTAGCATTAAAGTATCAGATAACGTAGTATTCAGGATTACCGACTAACTCATTAGCTTAATTTTACAGAAATATGATTTAAAAAAATCCCTGATATTTGTATGAGTAAATAATAATTTTAAAAAAAAGGTTATCTGTTGTACCATTTAAACTTGTTTTGATAACACTAGGAATAAAATCTCAAATACGTTTTTAGTGTTTGGATAAAACACTCAAATACATAAAATAGTCAGATGAGCTGACATTGGTTATTTATGGAGGAAATGTATTTTTCCGATAGATTAGTTCGAGAGTTTTTTATGCACTATTGTGTATCGCTATACACATGATAGCTGGTCTGTTTGTTTATATATAAATGACAGACGGTTGCGGGGACAAACCATGACAGAAACACCTGTTGATTACATTATATGTAGGGGGTCAGGTTAAGGTAACAGGTAGATGTAGTATATACAATAAATAACGACTTTAGCACGGTTTAGTAAATCTGTCGATAGTCAACATATGGTCAGCCATACACAGTGTAATGACCCAAACAGTCCGTATTGTGGAATGTAGTGAAAAACCCAACAATATCGGAGGATGTGTCTGATAATTCATTGATATGAAAGGAGGAGTTATACCACAAACTGACTGATTTTCGACAACAGTGAAGGTAGGATTGTGATCCGCTGTTCATTTTCTTGATAATCACGAAGATGTGTTTCTTTCCCTAGTTTCTAAAATCTGCCATTTAGTCTTTATTTCATTGTCATAAAGTGTTAGTGTTGTAAAGATATCGTTATACTGTCAAATGTATTATGCCAGAATATGAATATTACAGTACATCTCTAAAAGATTTTCCCCTGTCAGACGGAAAACGATACTTTTTCAATTAATTTATTTTACGGCTTATGAGATGCATGACATATAACATAATAGAAGTAGTTACAATTTGTATAAACTTAATGCAGTTGTTCAGGAGAGTGACAATTGTAAATTGATACATGCACACACAACTCAATCATGCGCGTACACGCACACGCAATATACATACGTAGTACTAATACTTGCTATTTTGCTAACTTGTGAAAGGGTTTTGGGATTCTCAAGATGTCAACTAACATTACTAACACCGCCAAGTATTATGAAATGTAGCAAATAGGCAGAGTCTGTAGCATTTCTCATTGTTTTAGGAAGCCGAAAATTGTATGACGCATTTCGACTATCTACAAGAGCTCTCTTTAAGTACCGTACTACCATTAATGAATAACAAGTTTGTTTACAATAGCACAACTTTATCAGTAGGATGAGTGACGTAGGATTTGTGTGGATTGCTGGGGGAGAAAATACAAAGGAATTCATAATATGGTGGCATATTTCTGCCATCCACTTGCGACTTACGAGTTACGTATGTCGACATAATTTTTGAAATATGTCGACATAATCTGAGAATATGTCGACAAAATCTGAGAAGATGTCGACATAACTTTTAGATTATGTCGACATATTATCACATTTGCCGAGATAATTTTGCCGAGATAATTATCTCGTAAGTGGGTAACTCGGCTTTTTATCGTGTTAATGCTCGGGTGTGACATCGACTTACGACTTGCCACTTACGACTTATTTATGTAAAATCCCTCTTTGATTGATAAACTCTGTACATCATAGTAACCTACTGTAATATCCATATCTTTGATTTCCCATATTTACATTGATTTTACCAAGTTACTCACCAGTATAGTCACCACTGTTCAGTCACCATCAGCCCACCTTCGCGGTCCTCGTGCACAAGCCTCGTTTTGGTAAGTCGGCAATAATCTACTAGGATGTCGACATAAATAAGTCGTAAGTGGCAAGTCGTAAGTGGCAAGTCGATGTCACACCCGAGCATTAACACGATAAAAAGCCGAGTTACCCACTTACGAGATAATTATCTCGGCAAAATTATCTCGGCAAATGTGATAATATGTCGACATAATTTAACAGTTATGTCGACATCTTCTCAGATTATGTCGACATATTCTCAGATTATGTCGACATCTTTCAATAATTATGTCGACATACGTAACTCGTAAGTCGCAAGTGGATAGAATTAAGTAACAGGACATGGCTTGACCACGTTCGATCATTTCCATGTTTTTCCGAACACGGGACGGAAAAAGGCGAAGTTATCGGATTGAGTACGTCTTATCATAGTCAATTTGAGTTGTGGTGTTTAAAATACTTTATCGTTATCTAAAAAACTCATCAGTCTTCTTATTTTTGTATTTTCAGGAAATGGGCACATATCTGCTGTTAGGTTTGAGTATGATCCTAATACCAAACAGTTTAGCATCGCATACGACATCCGCTTGGAATTACGGCGTAATGTTTGACGCCGGTAGTTCGAGTTCAAAGTTGAAGATTTACAAATGGCCGACTCGATTGTCAACTGCCGACGCATTTGACATGGACCTTATGTACACTCAGCGGTTTAAGCCAGGGATCAGTGACTACGTTTACCATCCTGATGATATTCCTGGTTATCTCGGGAAAATATTAAACAAAGCTAAGTCAATAGTACCAGTAACGCTACATCATTCTACGCCATTGTTCATGATGGCTACAGCGGGTACGTATATAAATAGTTAATAGTATATAAAAGTAAAAGTAAGATTTTGTTTAATTGATTAATTTATCTATTTATTTATTTATTTTGCTGTGCCTTATCAAAAAGGTATAACTTTAACTGCTCTTTAGTTAATTTAAGGATCCCTATCCTACTGCAGGCAAAACACAAAAGAGTTCCAGTGTAGTTTTTCATACAAATAGTAATCTCCCCTTAAAATCATTTGGGGTATGACAGCATGAACAATGAAGTAAGGGAACTACCGTTGTTTGTTGGAGCGACTGTAACATGATCGGAGGTCATGAGTTCGAATCCCTACCTGGCCTCGTTTCAGTTTTGCTGTCCAACATGTTTGTTGTTGGGTTTTTTTCGAATTTCATCTTTAATTTCTCACGAAAGTTCCGACATTGTTTCTTTAAAAAGATATTTATAAAGATATTGTCGTGCAGGTAAAAGGATTCCAATTTTTTACATGTAGTTACTGTCTTTGGAATAGGGACAGGGATCTAAAATTTCAAATACATTTCATGTGACTCTTTATTGAGCAAGTTATGTCATGAATGGCTACAACGAGGTAAACAATATCAAAACAATTATTTTTGGACCAATTGAAAGCCTTACACAAATTGCCTGCGACGCCAATGGTGTACAGTATCACTGAAACGTGTATTTTGCTACGATCAATGTTATTTTTACGTTGACGGACACTTTTTTTATTCAGGTTTACGTGTGCTACCGGAAAGCGACGCCATTGCCCTGATGACGTCAGCACGACAATACCTAGGTAACGCCTCCGTTAATCCGTTTACGTACAGCCCACACACGGTGAGGATCCTGTCGGGAGAAGAGGAGGGGGCCTACGGCTGGATCGCAGCAAATTACCTCAGGAATTTCTTCGGCTCAAATAAGTATGATTATCAACACATAGTATACACAGATAGATATTATGTATAAACAGAAATAAAATAGAAACAACAAAAAGAGGAAAATATGGCAACGGGTCAGAATCTTACCACAGTGTTTGACCATCATAGATTCTATGCCTCTTTTACATGCACGTGTATTTTCTCTCATCACTATTCTTTTGATTCGGTGGTGCCTGCTTGACACCTCGGGTTAGCTTGTGGATAGACTAATGTGAATGGTTGATGCATCTCACTACATTGTCCAGGTTAGGACAGTTCATTAAAAGAAATGGCAGTTTAATGTGGAATTACGGTGGCGCTGTCATCTGTGAGCGCACTCTTCATATGACCTTAGCCAAACTCAAAACAAACAAACAAAACGTAACTTATTTATCTTCGGAACCCATAATGTAACCCATACCATACCACAATCGAAACACCTCGCACCCCAATTGTAGTTCCTTTCAGCAGAGGATGAGCGAATCGGCCAAGGTGTTCCGAATCACCATCACAGTGTGCTTGGTAGCCCACGACAGTAATTCATTACCTCATCGAACAGGCGTGTACGTAACTGCCTATAAGCTAGTACGCATGTGCATCCCCTTGTCCCTCCAACTAAGGCCCTACCCTGGACTTGCTCCTCAGTGAACCCACTCATAACAAGGGTAACGCCCCTGTCGAAGGGGTGTGACCCGTCGTAACCCCTGGCAGATTGCCGAAAATGGAATACTTGCGATGGAAAGAATCTCGCAGGTTTTAGGCCGTCAGTTTGTACAGCCTTACGATGTCATAATCTTCGAAACGTTTTCCCTAATAATTCCTCTAAGATTTTTCAACGCAAACTCTACTGATAATATTCTTTAGTAGTCTGTTGTGGGACTATATTAGGCATGGCCGTTCCGTGCGCTCTGAATGTACGTCAATACGGTACTGTAACAGTAAGTTCACTCCTTCCTCTGTATAGATCCGTCAGTTACATTTTTCTTCTTATATTGGTACATCATGGCATTAATGATAAAACTAAACCAGCTGCTTGCAATGTCGCCGAGCCATAGCCTTAATCTCATATGTGTGCTTCTCTTAACTTCCACTCCTCCTGGAAAAATCAAATTTCTGTCAAACTTGGATTGTGGTTTAAGATATGTCATACCAACTCTTCAAAACCACTCTATATAGACTGCAAATATTTTTTTCATACGTCCTAGTAATTCAATTAAAATATATTCATGTTGAGATCGAGAAGGTTAAGACCACTGTCGACAACGCTTATTAAAGAGCGACTAAACTTTTACCCTTTCTGGAGCACTTTGTATCGGCTTGGTGGGAGTTCATTTTGCCTTTGGAATTCCCAGTCCTCTGTACCTGTGTTTAGTCTCCATTCCGTTGTTTGATGACGTCATAGAATTACATTTTCCTTTGTTTTATTATAACATGATTTGCTGACTCTTTCTACTCTTTCTCCAGACCGCCATCACAAGCCGTCGGTGTACTGGAGATGGGAGGTGGATCAACCCAGATCACCTTCGTGCCAGATGGTCCGATACTCGCCAATATGTTCCCAGTGCGCATGGCCGGGGTGACGTATTACCTGTACGCACATAGTTACCTTTATTATGGACAAACTTACATGGCATACAGGATACGGCGCTACCTTGAAGAGGAAAGTCCACTGGACACAGAACTGTATAACCCGTGCATGCTGAGGGGTGAGTAAACGGAAGTGGAACTCTCTCATGGAGTTGCGTTATGTAGAGTAATGAGAGGAGTAATGTTATCTTCTTGTGCGATTTCGAAATTAATGTCATATTATTTGACATGATATGTGAATCGTTTGACCTGTGTTTTACCAAACAACCAAAAAACACAATAGTAACTTTTACTTCCGATAATTAGCTTTCCATTGCGCATGGCAAATACAAACACGACACCCGGTTTAGGGATGGCATGAAATAGATTTAAAACTAGCATGTTGAAATTTTGAATTAAGACTAAGAATGCTGAACAGACCACCCAAAGTGTATACAGAAAGTCAGAGCAATTAGAGACGCTAGTTTCTATTTGCATTGTAGAACCTATCTTGAGTTATGGAAGACATGTACCGCTTGCAGTGTACGTACTTTCTATCGTCAAAGTGAGAAAACTCTTTTTTCCATTTTTCATCTTCAGGAGACAACGTGTCTTACAGCAGTGACGACGGAACCACTGTGATTTTAAGGGGAGACAGTAACCCCACAAAGTGCCTTGAGATTCTTAATAGCTTCCTCCAAAGTGCCGAAGAAAACTCGTGTTATCCAAAACCATGCGCCATTGGTCAAATCTACCAGCCGTCGCTGGGGACAGACACGTTCTTCGCCATATCTGCATACGTATACGCCCCCACTACGTTACGGGCGCTTGATCCATTCGGAAGGCTAAAAATTAAGGCTATGAATACTTCAGCCCATCAGTACTGCCGAATGGTATGGGATATTTGTTTTGTAGGAATAGATGTATATATTATAATTCTTTGAATATCTGTTGCGTTGATGCACAACTATTCGTTTGTTACTGGCTCGGTTGGGCAAATTTTCCTTTATCTCAATCCGTTGCAGGGAGGAATTAAGGTAAATGCGGTTTAAACTAAATGTGTTTTTAATCAAGCACATCAGAGAGGTTACTATTTAGAATATACATGTATGCTTAAGTTATTCATAAAAAGTACCCCTTTACTCCTTACATGTAACAAATTCATGTAGACGGACAATTTTGAAACAGTTGATTAACTGTCTACGTTTTCTTACAAGTTCAAATTTTGAAGAAAGAATTCAAATAATAGATTGTAATATATTTTGAAAGAAAACATATTGCAATTTATTTGCCGCTCGGGTTGTATCAAGTAATGCTATATTTCTTTTTCAGACTTTAGCTCAAGCTATAAATGCAACCGGAACTGCGGCAGAGTATGCTTCCGGTTATTGCATGATGGGACTTTACATTCCTTCTTTATTAACATCATCCTATGGTTTTCCTTCAAGCACAAATAGAATACAAGTAGCTGACAAAATAAATGGCGAATCTGTAGGTAAGTGTGCTTTAGTATATAAATCTGTAGGTAAGATGTACTTTAGTTCATCGAAATGAAGGTAAGGTGGCGATTAGAGTGTATAAACATTCAAGTTTGTACTTTAGTTCATCAATATGCAGGTACAGTTTTGCTTTTGTTTAGTTCATCATTCTGTAAGTAAGGTGGTGATGAGACTGTAAAGAAGTAAACTGTATATACGTCACTTCCGTGACACCGGATGTCCGGCAAACCTGAAAGATATCATCCGCCATATATATACTGTCCATTAAAAAAAAATCCATTCAGGAATGAGCTGAAACTTTTGAATTCAGGAACTCGTAGACTTCTCCCGCGATTGTGAGTGATATTGCTTACAAATTGGTGTTGGTTTAAAAAAACAACAACACATTAACTCATTTAATATTAAGACAGTGGAGATTTGAAAAACATATTTTTGAAAGCTTTCGTTAGTATTGGTCATTCTTTTGTACTGAAGTCCAAAATGTCGTGGTTTACTGCTAAAGGTTTTTATATTAAACGTCAGTAGATCAAACAACTTTCTTATCGAACTTCAGTAGTCGTTAGGGATTTATTTCCAAAATATGTTGCATTAATCTAAACCGATTTTACGCTTCCCAATCGTTTTGCGAGAAATACAGTGCTCAAACAATTGAGGATTTGCTTTCATGTATGTCTAGTGTCCGGACTAACGAAGTTCCACTATACAGTATTATCTGATATCCGGACTAACGAGATTCCACTTTTCAGTATAATCTGGTATCCGGACTAACGAGGTTCTACTTTACTGTATAAACCAGTCTCCCAACTAACGAGGTTCTTCTTTCTTGACTGACGAAATTTCATTTTACTGTATACTAACCGGGTTCTGTTGTAAGCAAAGCTGATATCGATATATATATTTTTTAGTGTATGTGTCACATTATTAATTGAATATTTTGTGTTTCAGATTGGGCTCTAGGCGCCGTATTATACGAACTTGAACAAATAGACTATTACAACTGGTTAGAGACGTGTGGCGAAGTGTCCGGAGGCCAGAGACCAGTGGTCAGCCTCGTTGTCTGGGTGTTGTTAGGGATGGTGACTTTCTATATAAGAAATCTTACAAATGTTTTGTGATGATTGCAACTCAGATTTAGTTAATCTTCAGGAATCATACATCTGGTAATATCATCTACAATTTCATCAACAAAATCATCGACACACGTGCGATCATCGTCTGTATTCTATGCGTTCTCGAAGAAACCACGATTTACAATATTGCATCTGTGGTCTGCTTCAAGTATACGGTGTGAAGCAAAAACAACATGTCTATTCTATGGTCGGAGTGGAGCAGCTCCTTATTGACAAGTAACTGACATGGAAGATGTCAATGCGTTCGTTCGTAGGGACATTTTTCTTGCAATAATATTTCAAACACGTGCATCTGAGATTCTGAAGCGAAAGTCGGCGATATGTCGTTGATCCTTCACTGAAGAATAGCGTCAGTTTACGACGGTAAAAAATGAAAATGACGTCACTTAAAAGTAATGTACTTATGAGTTATTTTTAACCATACACAGTGATAAAACGCAGTACACATGTTTCACCAATATCCGATGTGTTTTGTACATGTATCACTGTAACTTTAGGTCAATGAACATGTATTGTTATGTTTTTGATTAAGTTTAAACGTACTGTATACTGAATAACATGAGGTGATAAAATGAGTGTATTTCTTTAGAACGTGTGTATTTGTAGATCTGAATGTAGATTGTGATGAAAGTACACACATACAATGTATATATATACAATGTAACAACGTCACAACTACTACAAGGCCAAATGGATTAAAGCATGGCTAGCTTAACGGTAGCTTAACAAACAAAAAATCCATTTTTGCGAATTTCAAAATATTTAAAATTCAAAACAAAAATGGTATTTATAGATACTACAATGATTGCCTACAGACAGGAAATACAAACATATTTTGTGATTTTTTTTAAGGAACATTTTATTTAAAAAAGGTCGTTAAGCTAAGAAGGCCCTGAAAATCCGGCCCTAATGTTATGTGGTTACTTATAACCAACATTCGCTGAGCATTACTTTTAAGCAACTATTGACGATTTTCTAATAGAAAAAAATGTATTACCATTGTGGTGTATATACATGCAGTTTAAAATACAACACCCGTAAAACGTTTTTAATTAAGAGGACCATATATCGTTTTTGCATATAGGTATGTTCGAGTTAGCTCCCTTGTTATAAGAGACAATTTGTGTGCCTGCTGCCATATCAATAAGGCATAACTAAGATAATTACCGTTTTTGAGATTTTTTTTTTAATTAGATGTCTGGACTAATCACCCGTGATTTGAATGTCTGATATGTCACGTCTAGTTGGTAAAGATTTGAATGTTGGAATATTTCAAATAAGTGTGTGAAATATGTAATATGATGTAATAATAAAATGCAATACGTAACTAACATATTTCGAAATTATTTAGCTATGATTTTTTTGAATAAAGCATCTTCATGTATGTTTTACAATTTTTAGATGGATTCCCCCATCAATTTCACTTTTTTTTATTGATATTGGTAGTACATAGAATATAACTATTACAATATAAACAAAACTCATTTCAATATTATGAAAACTTGTAATAAATATTATCTCGTTTAAGTCGGTTCCAAGCTTTACAGGGGCCATCTGATATTTATGCGTGGTTTCAAGACGTGTATACATACAAAAGAGTCCAGTATTTGCACATGTTTCAGTCGACGTTTTACTGTAAATTCACACTTAATAAAAAGTGTGTCAGGTGAAATTGAAAGTGAAAGACGAAAACCGATATCTCTTTTCTACGCACGTATTTTTTTTTAATTTCTTTGAAAAGGAAAAAAAATAACTGATGCTTTTTGTCTGATCTCACGAGATCGTGCAGGACAAATTTTCCTGTATTGATTTAACTTTTTTTTCTAGATTGTGAACTGTTGTATTTTTGTTTTGGCCAATGAAACACGAAACGATATTTCTATCGAGAAATCTGCATTATCCGTGATCATGCCCTACTTCTTGCAAAAGCAATTATGTGATTGTCAGAATTTTTCATATTTAAAAAATGAAAAATCGTTTTGAGTTTAAGTTTAGCTCTCCATAAAAATAGACTTTATAAAGGTTTTCTTTTTTAAATTTACATAAAATATTTTGCATGTAAAATTTTCTCAAAGGTGTGAGAAGATGCGTTATGATTAAAAAAATATTCCGAAGAAATCTACACCAAAATTTTGATAGTCAAATGTTGAAAGTGAATTCTTTTTTTTTCCTCTAAAAAATTAGTGGCAAAATCTGGGTTCTGCCTTTAAATTGGTAACCATTATATGTGAAATCGTTAAATCTGTGTGATTTGATTTTCCCCCGAATAAAATGTTGGCCTCTACAGCTAGGACCTATTTTGTGATGTTTAATCAAATTGTTGGTGAAAGTTGACTATAAGGTTGAATAAATGTATTAAATCTTGTTAGTTTTATTCACAGATGATAAAGTAGTTTGGTAAATGACGATTTAATCTCTACCAAGTGGTTGTTCGTTAGTGTTAGGAACGACAACTCTAGGTAGAGATACCAACGTTTTCATTTGTCAGAGTTGTCTCCCCTCGTTACGTCACCATCGGATGGAATAAGCATTTTAATGGAGGGTCGAGAGTGATATACTGATAGGGAAAAGAATGTGAAGATAAAATGAGTGTTCGCCTGTGACAGTAAATATGTATACTATAGTATATAATAGTCATATAAGGGACATACTTTTTCTGCAATAATGAAATCCATTATGTTGTGTTATTAAATTCAAAATTAATCTTTTCTTTTCCTTCACATTGCAGAGTACTTTTGTAAAGATTTTTTATAATAAAATACATTGAAACATATCTTTAGCTGTATTTGTTTTATCATTACGGAATATACACGTATGCGAAAGAAAAATGAATACTTAAGGAAACTTTCTGTTGTTTATGAAATAAATAATTTTCTAACCAGGTACATAAATCACCCGAAAATTCCGTAAGATTTTAACTTCACAATCAAACCTTCAAGCCAAACGCGATCAAAGGCCTTATATATAACACAGAATACCAAACATAATATTTTTACTTTAAGAGCAATACAAATGTTGTGATAAATTTCAATGAGCTGATATACAGTAAAATGATCATGCATAAAACCAGACTGGTGCTTATAAAACAGCGAGTTTTCTATGAAATAATTATGTTATGTTCATCAAACCACAGGACAGTTGGAATACAGTCTCAGAAAGTCTGGAAGCTTGTCTGACAGATATCAGTATCTGGATGAACTCTCGTACTGTGACCTACGGAAACAGATGCTTTGGGAGGTTTCGGCTACGTTGTGGAATAGCTTACCATCTGCTATTAGAAAGTCAAATACCTTGGCCAAGTTAAAGAGGGACATCAAAACTTACCTCTTCACGTCTGCATTTTAGAATCCTTCCAAAGACGTCATGTAAATACCAACCTTTCATTTGTTCAATTATGTGCACATTGCTTGCTTAAATGTATAAAAGTGAGTGTAAGCCTTTGTTTTTTGTTTTCACAATTATAACCATTACTATTATTCATATGTTGTAAAGTGCATTAGAGTAATTTTACAAATTACATAGGGCGCTATATAAATGTTGTATATTATTATTATTATTATTATTATTATATAAGTGGTTGAAGATGACTCATTCAAAAACTGTCCAAACGGTATATAAAATAGAATTTGATCTACAGTAAGAAGGAGAACGCCTATCAACTTTTTAACTTGACTTGGACAATTTTCCAAGTGGTTGGAAATATACATGTCGATTAAGACATGTTATAATAGTTATAAAAGCAGTTTGTGAGGTATTTCTTAATATGTGATGGCTGATTCCATCTTCGCTAGAGCCCGTGTCGAGCTTCAATATCTGTAGAACGTCTCTAATATAATTACTATTTACACTGATAGAACTAAACGTTTTGTCAGTTTTTGGCTGAACGAAAGGAACGACGGTGTTCCTGTCATGCCCTCGTGTTGTATCACAAAAATAGTAATTTAATAGGTTTTAGCTTTATCTTCGCTATAAATGACAACATTGTTAGAAACAGGATCTACAAGAGTAGGTATAGATTGTAAAGTACCAGCTGATTTCAGTAATCGTTAAATAAGTCTCCAATAAGATTTGGGATGGGGGCGAATACTCTTCAATAATACATTGAACATTTTCATAAAATACCATATACGGGCGTGCTTTTTCATGTGTTAACATTATCACACTGAATTTTATACATATTGCATCAAAAGGAAGTAGTTGCAGGATATGCGAGTTATCTCCTGTTGCTACAATGTTGTGTGCTCGATTTCATGGTGTACACGTGTACATTTCGCAGCGGTCCATGGACAGTATGTTAAGTTTCTTTGCGTCTACCCCGTCATCACCCAACAAGTAATATGTAACCTACGTTGAAATCGCATGTCCCCTTCCACCCTCCTCTAAATGGCATGTGAAATCGGAAGTAATGGAATGGATATCATGTCCGCGGAAGGAGACACATTTTGCGTACTTATAAGAGGTTTTTAAAAACATATATTATCCATCTTTCCAACGGTACCAAGCATTGTTTCATATAAGCAGTAAGAAGTATGATATTTAATGCAGAAAGCTATGTTGGGTCGAATTTTTGACACGGAGCGCTTTCAGCTAATCTGGTATATTCCATAACTTGGGTGGAAATTTTAAAGAAATTTTATCTAAACCTCTAAAACCTGTAATATAACTTTGAACACCTTCGTTTAGGTCCAAATATAGCTGTAACACATTATCAACTCCCTGTGCTTGCGTAAATGTTAAATATTGTGAAATTTTTACATTAATTAAAATTTTAACAGGGAGTTTTAGTGTGCAAGATCTCACAAATAATAGAACCTCTGTTTATTTTAAGATTTTCTTTTCTTTTTCTGCAGCATCAAGTAATTTCCTCTTAAACCAATTAATGTGAATAATAAGTGCTTTTATCACATACCTATGTAATCTTACAATAGTAATACAACAATTTTCGGTTGATGTTTTCTCTCAGTTTGTATCACACATGTGTATCACCTTACTAGACGGAACTACTTTTTATGGGAATCCCCATGGCGAACTGAAAAGTTCCCGGTATTTGCAAAAAATATTATAAGTATATAAAATCTTTGTATCGATCTCTACCAAATACGAAAGGAATGTGATAAAAGCAAGACCACACACTTGTGGTTTTTTAACGAATCAGAAAGCACGAGTTTATTGCGCGGACGAATATATTCACGAGTGCGCGGAGAGTGAATATATTCGTCCGTGCAATAAACTTGTGGTTTCTGATTCGTTAGAAAAGCACAAGTGTGTGGTCTTGCATGTTTATCAGCGAGGCAAAGGTTTTATATCGTTGATATTTGTACTCTTCATCTTCGACGCCGAGTGGAGCGTGTCGAAAAAAAATGAGATGCTTTAACATTTACTATGAAAATATTAATATTTGTTGCCGAAAACCCCCCAGGAAACAAAGTTCTGTTATTCTATGATATCATTTATTTGTATTAAATGTTATCATGGGAATAAACTAGTTTGCCATTTAAAGAGAGAGGATGAACATATTTAAACAAAATCATCATTAATGTGATGAAACCATTTAAACAACTTCATCTAAAAAAACATCTCATTATTGGGAACATACATTATTTTGTGTATTGACTAAATGCACGTGTTAACAGCTAGGCCGTTTCTCTGAGAGTCCATGCAAGTTCCACAAGGAAAATAAGACAAAAGTACACCATAGTGTCTCGTCAAGGAAATGCATATGACGCAATGAGACCTTTTCATCTTCGACGTCATAATGCATTTCTTATCTATGCAGATTGTCGCATAACTTTCACGCACATCTCGACACATTGAATACTTTGACGTGGAAATGGGATGCGATAACTCAAAAGTGGTAGAAAATACACAACAATAAATATCAGTTTTCGTTCTGTTGGAGAAAATGGAACATTAATAATAATGATATAATAATTAGAGGTTCTAATATACCGCTTTATCATAACCTAGTTCGTAGGTCGACTCAAAGCGGTTCACAAATTATTATCTGTGGTGATAGGGCCTTTGCAACCAGTCTTCTCAACTCCCTGCGGAGCATACAGCCGATGCTGCCATTTCGGCGCTCACAGCTAGCATACAACAATGCTAGCACTGCCCAACCACGTACTCATTTACAGGTGAGTAGACATGAACAAGCGGAGTAAAGTATCTTGCTCAAAGA